AAACATAGTATTTAAGTATCACCAAGAAAGGAAGACAATGAGAAAAAACACTGCCAATTGAACTATGACATGATGCATTCTTATACATAATTATTTTATGTTTTAAAAAATAACTCTTTTAAGCTCATTTAGACAGAAATAAAATATCATACTTGGAAATATGTGAAAGGAAAAGGAAAAGCAAAATAAATTGTTATTTTTAAACTTCTTTATATTCAGAAAATTTACTGAAAGTTTGGCTCAGAGTTGTCAATATCCATATTTTTTCCAAACAATATTATCCTCTCTGCTATCAAGCGTTTTGATGATGCAGTATTTCCTAAAACAGGGTTCTACTCTTGTGTCTAGAAGAGTTTTCATTCAAGTCAGACACAAATTATGTAAGTTTTGAAGTCGATACTTTTTGAGCCTTCCAAAGAGATTAAAGGAAAATTTTAAGACAACAAACAGTGCACATTCTTTCTTCAGATGGTCTTTAAACAGTTTGTCCCAAAATGAAATAGGTAACAATAACCGGGTTCACACATGCTCAGGCAGTGATGATGGCAATGATGTAATGACTGACACCTGGCTGACAGTGCTGACACATCCTGATTTTAGGAATATGAAATGTATTTCCTCTAATGGAAGAAACATAGTACCATGTACCAAAGGGAGCTTTCCTTTTTCTTTTACAGAACTTAACAAAGATTGGGTCACCATTTCAGAAAACCTCATCACCAAGGTATCTGAATCAGAAGCAAAACATACAAGTTTTACTTACCAAGAATTTACCAGTTACTATATGTATGTATATATCAGCAGGTATAACTTTCTAACAACTTTGCTATTTCTTATAGTGTAGGCAATGCTAATGTCCTTACATATCAAAATAGGCACTATAATAAATTACTTTTATTTCTCTTTTATGATGTCATTATATTGATGTTTTTCTATTTACATATGTAGGTGGGTTATATTATCTATAAATTTCATTGCAGGAAAGACTCTTTTAGAAAGTATCTGTTATAAAAAGATGCCATTCAGTCTGATAAGAGTTGAGAAAATACTGAATTTGGGGATCATCGATACTCCTTCTCCTCTAAAGAGAAAGAAAATATTTGGGTACTTTCCTTATAAATATTATATTAATATATTTGTGGATAGGGGAAAGAGGGAAGAAAGAAGAAAATTGTGTATCAATTTAACATCAAGGATGGTTTTATACTCATTTTAAGAAAGTGAGCTCACACCTGTTCAGAGAGTACAGGCTTTTGAGACAAACTTCCTGGGTTCGAATCATGGGTCTATCACTTTCTGTATCATTTTGGGCAAGTGACAGTCTCTCTTTGCCTCAGTTCCCTATTGAGTAAAATGAAGGTCATAACTGCATTACCTCATGGGATTCTTATAGGAACTAAATGATGTGACACACTGTATGGTGTTTATAAAAGTGGCTGGTACATCAGAAGCAATAACTAAGTGAAAGCTATCATTAATTATAATGATAAAACCTATCATCTGCAAAACAAAAATGTCTGAACTTCTGCTAAACTCCCTGCCACCTGAGAAATCATTCCTGAAGAATCTATGATTCCTTGATATTATGGAGAAAAACCTCACGGTTTTCTGCAGATGTTTTCCCATAGAATCAAATTAGAAAAGATTCAAGTATCTTTGGTGGTAGTGAAGTTTATTGTCAATTGCCACAGAAATGCTCTGTCATGGACCAATTTACTCTATATTTTAAAGTGCAAAAAGGTGATACATGAAGCATAGCCAACATATATTCCCTCTTCAAATAAAATATAATGCCAGTACAGATACACTGTTAGTTTTTGTAAGATAATTTTTTACTTTATTAAAATCAACAAATATTGTTAAGAATCTACCAAAATCTGAGCCCCATGCTATGATGAGTAAATGCAAAAAAAGCTGCAAATATACTCCTATCCCATGAGATGAGGCTGGAATGCTGGGATGATGAGACTGACACATATAAATCAACTAGCGTCACTAAGAGAAAAAGCATAATTAAGTGTTATATTGCATGGTGCAGCTCATAAGAGAATTGCAGTAGTTCAGGTGAAGAAGATTAAGGAGCCATAGGGAACTTAGGAAAAATGCACCTAGGAGAAGGGAGAAAGAATTTACTAGTTACTATATGTATGACTTTCGTAAAGTTAGCCTCTCAGTGTTATTGTTTCCTATTTTATGAAACTTGACAGTTTAATTCATGTAAAATGCCTAGCACATTCTAAAGCAAGGCAGGATTTTGGTAAGCCTTAGAGAAGGTGTAGTATCTACCTACAAAGAGAATTCTCAGATAGCAGGATAACCTGTGTCATGTAAAAAAAGCTGCAAAAAAAGCTTTTAGAGCCTTTTAAGTACGAAAAGATAAAAACTCCACAAGCAATAGCCCTACTATAATAAGTACAATATTCTATGTCAAATAGCAGCCACAGCTTTGCCTGCATGGCAAAATAACTCCCTTAGCACATGAGCTTCGATGCAAGTTGACATCCTAGAGAGTTCTTCCTTACAAGCAAAGATTTGTTCTTTAAAAAAATATAGGACATAAAGTATGAATATTTGCTTTTCCCTCTAAAATCCTTGCCCTTTACTGACCCTTCTCCTGAGCAATCATGACCTGAGCTTTCCATCACCTACAAGGAGGAGTTATAATCACATCACTTCTCTAATGTGATTTTCTGTGAGAAGTAATTTTATCTCATGTTCTCTTTATACTCAACTATTCTATATCACAGCTTTACAAATGTGCTGACAAGAAGAGAATGAAGAGTTCCTTTGAAGAGTCTCAACGTTATTTGGGGGAAATACATTCAGCAGAGTCCTGATTATACTTACATGATCTGTAATTAGAATTTCCTAGCTGTATTGGTAAGAATATTAATTATATTAATTACATAATGGCTTCTTTGGCAAATAAAGCCATATATTCTAGGATTGGTCCAAGCCTGACACTCTTTTCTGCTTAAAAAAACAGAACACATATTGGAATAAGAAAAGTCTCCACTTTAGGCCAAATGAAATTATATCAGTTCAAGACAGAAGATGATTTCATGGCAATTAGAAAGAAATAGTCTGGCCGGGCACAGTGGCTCAAGTCTGTCATTTCAGCACTTTGGGAAGCCGAGACAGGCAGATCACGAGGTCAATAGATGGAGACTATACTGGCCAACATGGTGAAACCCTGCCTCTTCTAAAAATACAAAAATTAGCTGGGTGGTGATGCGTGTCTGTAGTCCCAGCTACTCAGGAGGCTGAAGCAGGAGAATCGCTTGAATCTGGGAGGTGGAGGTTGCAATGAGCTGAGGTTGCGCCACTGCACTCCAGCCTGGGTGACAGAGAGACTCCATCACAAATAAACAAAAAAAGAACAGCCTTTGTGGAAAGTTCCATTATTCCTTTTTATTTAGACCAAAAGTAATTCCAGCCATGCCTCACAGGCTCCATCTCTTGTAGAGATGGAATACATTCTATATTTCTTGTAGACAGAAAGGAAGTAAGGCCTGAAATCATTACCTTGACTTGTCCAGAAAGGATAGAAGAATTGGAAATACGGTGCTGGTAGCCTGAGGCTTTGATATGTAAACTCATCTCAATATGCTTGTCTTTTCAGAGTTTGTCATGCAGTGTGACCACACAAACTTAAATTATTTCTAAAATAAAATTGTTTTATCTGTGTTTTTCCTATCCTTTTAGAGCCTTTGAAGCATATATAGAAATTCACACTCCTGAGTAGGAATTTGTTACCATATACAGTAGAGCAGCCCTTTGGTTTGCCAGAGGCAGATAGAGAGAAGAGCGGGGTGACAATCCATATGGCCTTTACTTCTCTTCTGCAAGCTGCAAGTTGCCAGCAAGAGAAACTGTGTTCTGCTCATTTGCTCCTTTATTTAACATTTTAATAATCTATGGGATACTGTGCCAGGTAGTATGCTAGGCACTAGATAAACAGAGGTAAGCAAAACCATGATCATGTCCTCCTGCAGTTTACAGTCTCCTCAGATATCATTTGTGGTATGTTTAGGCTTTAATTTTTTCTTTCTGTGTATACCTAAGTATATTTCTGGTCTTGATACTGAAAGAGTTTAAGCTGTAATACATCACATTTGTTGGGCAGGAACTCATGGGAAGCAATAAGCAAGGCAGAAGGGGCTGCTATTAGAAACAACTTGAGGCACACGCAGATGCAACCAAACCTTAATCCAAGGTGTATTCATTTCATATTGCTTCTGTAACAAATTACAACAAATTTAATAGCTTAAAAATACACAAATTTATCAGCTTAAAAATACACAAATTTAACTTATAGTGCTGGAGATTATAGGTAATAACCTCAAGGTGTTGCATTCCTTTGGAGGCTCTAGGGTAGAATCTATTTCCTTACGTTTCAAGCTTCTAGAGGCTACTTTTATTCCTAGGATCCTGGCTCCTTCCTCCATCTTCAAAGCCAGCAACATAGCAATTTCCCCTTCCTTGCTCTCCCTCCTATTTTCCACCATTTCTTCCCTCTTTCTGTGCTTTTGTCCTTACATCTTCTCTGACTGACCCTCCTGCCTCCTTCTTAAAAGAAATATTGTAATTCCATTGGGCCCACCTGTATAATCCAGAATCATCTTCCCATCTCCAAATCTTTAACTGAATCATATCTGTGAAGTCTTTTTAGCCACATAACTAAGACAGGCACATCTTTGAGGGCCATCAGCCTATTACCACACACGGCAAATTAAGTAGAAAATAATGTTTGCCTCTTTTACACTGAGTCAACCAGCTGCATGTTGCTCTTTGCAAGTTTGTTTTCTACTTCAAGGCCATATTGGTTGTCCATTTTAATTAGCCTTTCCTCACAAAATGGTGGTATGTGGTGCCCCCAGCTGATACTTCTCTGAGGCCTTGTAACTCTCTAAGATTATACAAGTTTAACTCACAAGTCAACAAAGTGGAACACTTCAACCAGAGACATTGACCTCCCTCTCTAATAAACTTTTAGCTGATTGCTAAAGACAGATGCTTCAATAGAGCCAAACATTCCTATCTTACTTAACTAAATATGATAATAAATTAAGTTTATGGAGCTGGAAATAGTTATAATTTCTTTTTTCTTGCAGTGAGGAGGCACGGAACAACATTTAGCAAACTGATCTTGGCTTAATTCCTACCGATATTATGCAGCACAAACTCTTATTTGATGGAGACTATAAATCAAGAATTAGCAATGAATAATACGCTTCGCTTTAGCGGTAAGAGGCTGCTGAGTAGCTTCTCCCCCCACCCCCCAGTAATGGTAAAGGCTAGGCTTGATATTTTTATGTCACTTTTAATAAGAAAGGGGGAAACACTTTGCTATTCATCTTAAAGAGAAGCTTTTTGCTTCTAGTTACATGGAGTAACACCGAATAGATTTACCTTCCTGCCTCAAAAAAGTGAAGACCAAAAAAGCATTTGTTTTCAGACACTGGAGAGCAGGCACTGTTAGGGCTGTGATGCTACGACTGCTCCTACATGCTGGGGGCAGTCTCCAGTTTCATCTCAATGTGGGTTGTCACAGCTTCCAATCTAAGGACGATCTACATTTACTTACGTAGGTAAAATTACTGTTGCTACGGGTAAATTCACAGAAGTAAAACCCAGAGAATCCGGTTGGCTGGCTGGGAGAGGCGGAACCAATTCCAGGCTCAGCAAGGTCTCGCGATACCGTGAGATCCGCAGGCCTGACGACACCGCCGCAGAGACTTCCCTGAGACCCGAGGGTGGGCGGTGCGAGCGGCTGTTACCTCGGAGCTCTGCTTTTCTGGGGAAAACGGGCGTTGACCTGCGGTCGGTCCGACTGTAACCAACATGAGCGGCCTGGATGGGGTCGAGAAGACCCCTCCCCTTCAAACGCACAGCATCACTTTTTCTGACGACGTCCCGGGCGACCCGGACGCACGCCAGTGCCTGAGGCTCCGCGACCAAAGCGAGGCGACACAGGTGATGGCGGAGCCGGGTGAGGGAGGCTCAGAGACCGTCGCGCTCCCGCCCTCGCAGGCTTCAGAGGAAGGGTGCGTACCCCAGGATCCCGCGGGCCGTGGCGGTACTCCCCAGATCCGAGTTGTTGGGGGTCGCGGTCATGTGGCGATCACAGCCGGGCATGAAGAGGGCCAGCCTCCTGCCGAGGGCCTGGCAGCCGCTTCAGTGGTGGTGGCAGCGGACCACAGCCTGAGAAAGGGCGTTCAGGGTGGAGAGAAGGCCCTAGAAATCTGTGACGCCGAGAGGTCCGCGTCTGAGCTGACGGCGGGGGCGGAGGCGGAGGAGGCGAAGGGAGGAAAGTGCGCCACCGTCTCAGCAGCCGTGGCTGTGGAGCAGGGGGCTGAGGTGGTGGTGAAGGAAGGCCTGGCGGAGGAGGAGGTAGTGGAGGAGCAGATGGAGGTCGAGGAGCAGCCGCCAGAAGGTGAAGAAATAGAAGTGGCGGAGGAAGAGGCGAGGGAGGAGGAAGGGCCGTGGCCTCTGCATGAGGCTCTCCGCATGGACCCTCTGGAAGCCATCCAGCAGGAACTGGACACTGTGAATGCTCAGGCCGATAGGGCCTTCCAACAACTAGAGCACAAATTTGGGCGCATGCGTCGACACTACCTGGAGCGGAGGAACTACATCATTCAGAATATTCCGGGCTTCTGGATGACAGCTTTTCGAAACCACCCCCAGTTGTCCGCCATGATCAGGGGCCAAGATGCAGATATGTTAAGGTACATAACCAATTTAGAGGTGAAGGAACTCAGACACCCTAGAACTGGCTGCAAGTTCAAGTTCTTCTTTAGAAGAAACCCCTACTTCAGAAACAAGCTGATTGTCAAGGAATATGAGGTAAGATCTTCCGGCCGAGTGGTGTCTCTTTCCACTCCAATTATATGGCGCAGGGGGCATGAACCCCAGTCCTTCATCCGCAGAAACCAAGACCTCATCTGCAGCTTCTTCACCTGGTTCTCAGACCACAGCCTTCCAGAGTCCGACAAAATTGCTGAAATTATTAAAGAAGATCTGTGGCCAAATCCACTGCAATACTACTTGTTGCGTGAAGGAGTCCGTAGAGCCAGACGTCGCCCACTGAGGGAGCCAGTAGAGATCCCCAGGCCCTTTGGGTTCCAGTCGGGTTAACATTTGCCCTTGGGAATACTTCTGCACAAGGTCTCCTACCACCACCTGCTGGACCTGTGCTTGGGCAACAGAAATGGGTATGCCTTCTACTGTGTTTTGTTTTTGCTGACTTTTCTGCACCCTCTTTCCTTTGGATATTCACTTCTCTCAACCTCAAGATTGAGACGGTGGTGGGTATGCTTCTCCACTTCCATATGACTTCCATGCTGTTCTGGAATATCACATGCTACGATGCCATCCTTCACACTACTAAGCCAAGCAAACGATACTGTAGATGGTACTGCCTTTATCTGTACTGCTTGGACCCTGTTTATTCCCAGGGTCTCTGAACTAGTTGCTATCACCTGGATTTCTAGCTTTGTCTGGGAGCCTATTCTATCTACTTAGCTCTGCATCGGGCAGTATGGGCACATGGCCTGTGGACAGTTACTGGACGTTAATGAACTCAGAGGAGAAAAGCAGTGGAACCACTTGTTCTGTGTGATTTATGTTGATTGATTCATTGTTCTTCCTTCACCTCTAATCACTTTCTGTTGCTACCTGCCCTACTTTGGCTGCTGCCAAGGTCCCTCTCTCCCTCTTCCTCTTTTCTCCTATTTCTCTCTTTCTTTTTTCTTTTTTTCAGACGGAGTCTTGCTATGTTGCCCAGGCTGGATCTTGGCTCACTGCAAACTCCGCCTCCGGGTTCAAGTGATTCTCCTGCCTCAACCTCCCGAGTAGCTGGGACTACAGGCATGTGCCACCATACCTGGCTAATTTTTGTATTTTTACTAGAGACGGGTTTTCACCATGCTGGCCAGACTGGTCTCAAACTCCTGACCTAGTGATCTTCCTGCCTCAGCCTCCCAATCCTGTCTCTTAAAAAAAAAAAAAAAACGATAATAGCTTAGAAACATTTGTAAAAGCAATCTTTAATTTTGGCTCTGTCATTTTCAGAGACAAAGAGGTTGTCCTGTAAAATACAGCTCTTATTGCTCCCCCCATGCCCCCTTCTCTCTTCCCAACTTTCTATACCTTTTATCAACTCCTAGAATATTTAAAGGGAGACACATCTGGATGGAATGAAACGTGAGATCTAGTTTATAACGGATGGAAGAACTAAAGAGATTGTGATGGGTGCCCTAAGCAGGGAAAACTGAACAAAAGACTAGAGGCATGGGCCAGGTAAAAATTGGGCCTAGAATGAAGACTGAGCTGAGGAGGAATGGGTACTTACTCCCCAGTGGTGATCAATGGAGAAATACTTTTCTCAGGATAGTTAAAGGATAGTTGAAGGGGTTAAAGTGTTAAATTGTTGCCTAGACAAGAGTTCTTTAAAGAAACACAAACAGTGCAACTTTGAATGCTTGCTTGCTTGTTTTGTGACTGAATTTTTGTGGAAGATTATTTTAATAGGATTTAGTAAAATCTTATTTTTTTCTGTTTCTGCTTATTGTGAAAATTGAGCTGTACAGACATTCTTTTGATTTCAATTGGGAACATTTGGAAGAACAATAGTCTTTCCTGTACAATATAGAAACAGATGAATACTTGTAACAGTTTTCAACTTGTTCTTGTTTCTGTTAAACTATATTCCTAGAAACATAGTTTGAATAACTTGGTCTTAGACTTGTCAAATTGTCTTTATGGAAAAATAATCTACAAAAGTGGTTTAATTGATTTTCTTTGTCTTACATGATAATTTTCCCTGGTAACAATTTTACTTAGTAAGTGATGTGTCTTTTTTCCTAAATTGCTTTTAAATACTGTGAAATTGCTCTGACAAATTGGAAGTGTACTGTTGGCATATTTGTCTTCTTTTTTATGTGTGATGGTAAAATAAAAGCATGTTGTTCTGCTAGATTTATTTTTCACCTTACCCATAAATGTAATGCTTGAATGAAATTGTTCACGTTAATTAAAAATGATGTAATCATTAAAGTCCTTAAATGGACACAATAGGCATTATCCCAAAGAGAAGAAAACAGGGCACAGTACGGGACCTTCCGAGGTAGTTTACTTTAAAACTTTAGCAGTTGCAACTGCTTAATCACTTTTTTCCACATAGCTTATGCAGCACAAGCTCCCCTTCAGTTACTCAAATCCTCCATTTCTAGCTCCATAAATGATATTCTCAGGTTATTCAGGCTCCTGTTATTAACCTGTATGCAGGGAGTACCTATCATATGTGATATATTCCTCTATTTTCATACTTTCTCATCTGTTCAAACTTCTTTTCCTCAAATTTCCTCACCACTCTCTTCTGTCAAATCCTTCAAGGCCTGCCGTTGGTAACTCTTCCGCCTTTTAGTCTTACGGTACCCATAGAGGAGATAAATGTTCTTTATGCACTTGGTGTACTTTGGAGGGACCTCTGTTCTAGAAAATAACATAATTATTCATTACAGTGAATTCCACAAATAGGAGAAAAAGAGTAAGAAAATAAAGTCCATTCCCTTCATTAGGGAACTGGGGAAGGACTGATAAGTAATCGACAGAATGACACAGTAAAATAAAATACAGAGATTGTATTTTCATGTTTTTCACATTTTTACTGTTCTTCTCTTAGTAGTTTGGAAACTTTGTGAAAGTGGAGATGTAGTGATTTTACATCGTTCATTGCATCTAGCATAATGTTTTGCACATAGTTGTCAACAGATAAATATTGAATCACATAATAGATAGGGAAAAAGAACAAAATAACCTAGTGCTCAGAATGAGCAAATGGAAAGAAAATGTCAAAAAGATTTGCAAAGCCATTCCTAAATAACAGTATTTCCCATTTTAGTCATTAGAAAATGTCCACTTTTAACATTTAATCTTTCACTTGCATTTTAACAGAGCATTACTTAATTTTGGGTTACCTTTTATGTATTTTGTGCATTTTAAGGTGATTATACTGGAGATAGAAGGGGGTTAGACTCTAGACGTGTCCTGTCTAATACAGGACAGGATTGTGGCTATCGAGCACTTGAAATGTGGCTAGTCTGAATTGAGATCTATAAATATAAATGTACACTGGATTTTGAAGACTTAGTATGGAAAAAGGTTAAAATATCTCAATTTTTTTCATATTGATTGCATGTTGAAATATTTTTGACATTGGGTTAAAATATATTTAAAAAATATCCTTGTTTTGCCATTGTTTAATGTGGCTACTGGTAAATTTTAAATTATACAGGACAGCATGGCTTTTGATATCCTGAGGAATATCTGAAAGCATATAAAATATCTGTAAAAATTAAACATGTTATTACTTTCTCCTCATGAAGCTTCTTGTGACTAAGATAAGGGTTACCTGGCTAAAATTCAAGGCCAATGGGTAAAAAGAAAGTGAGTAAAATTTCTTTAATGATCTGTTCTTGAGTACATAAGATACACTGAATATTTTGCAAAATGTACTGTGCAACACTTTCTTGATAGAGGTAGGGTAGATTTGGATGCCAGATTGACACTGACAGTTATATTGGCTAAATTTTTAGTAACATTTAAGACCAATATATTCATATTTTCTAAAGTAAAATGCTCTATTTTTAGTTTACAAATGTATATGATGTTAAGAAAATAATTTTAGTCTTACTTTAACAGTTGTCTAGCAACAGAAAAGGAAAATATCTGAGTCTAGCCTTGCATTGTAGTTCCATGAAGATGCATACTTTTTGAAAATTTGTGTAATCTGTAATTGTAATTTTGCCCTAGTTGTTTATTGAATACTAGCATAAGTAAGGATTGTATGGGATAGTAAAGGTTGTCTTTGCCCTTGAGGAACTCAGGCTCATTGAGGGGGGGTACCATTCCTTGAATGTTTCCTCTTTTTCTCCAGCAAATAGACATTTAGAAAGCTACTTACTACACACAAGCAAAACTCGGGACCAGCCGGGCTGAGAGGAGTTGTAAGAAATTATCAGGACCATCCCTCTCAGGACTAAAACTTCTTTTCTTTCAACATTAATATAAAATTAAAAGTCCTCGACTGTATATAAGTGACTTTGAACAAGAAAGTCTGCCTAAAATCAGCTATTAGAAGTATGTATTTCATGCAGCTAGTTTTTTCTTAAGGTATTTTATAAGGTCTTTAAAGTGATATGTGGAAGAATGTGGTAAAGCACTTTAGTTAGAGCAAAAAGGGTTGTATTCCCTATCAGCCCAAAATACCATATGTCTAGAATCATTTAGAATTGACTGTAGACAATTCTAATAGACAAGCATTACTACTATGTCCCAGTGTTTTATAACTTTTCTCAGATTATTCAAATGGTATCCTATTTGTTGCAGTTCAACTCTTCTTTTCTTCCACAAACCTTTCACCTATTGCTTCATTTTACATGGATGTCTTTTGTTTCCAAACTTTTATACAATTACAGTTTCATAATAGAATTTGATTTTATATTGCCTACAACTTGTTTATTTAATGTAATTCTTAGCACAAAAATAATAAAAATGAGCAAGTCAGATTATATTTATTGAAAGTGTATGGTGAAAAACACTTCATAGATACCTCATTCCACCTTCATGGTAATTCTGTAAGTTGTTTTATTATATTCATTTTGTATATGAGTAAATTGTGGCTTAGACAGGTGAAGTCACTTGCCCAAATTAAACAACTAGTAAGTAACAGCAATGGGACTTGCAGTCATATAGGGTGCAATTTAACCAGCATACAAAGGTGCGGGGTCATTCGGGTTAGGGCCTTTGTCTTTGGTTTCTCTTAATACTGGTGAAAGCAGAAGAATATGAGGGTTTTTTTTTTCCAAAGTACTATCATAGGCAGTGATCATAACTAGATAATTAGCCTAAGAAAATATGAATTTTGTAACAGATTCTAAAATAGATTCTAATTCCATTTAAATAATACAAAGAGTACCAAATGTATGTTGAAAAACTGTGGCATAGTTATTTTACTGAAATATGATCTATATTTGCCATAAATATTTTCTTTACAGCAGCTTAAACTTGACCTTTGAAGGCAGACAAAGCAGAATATTATCATCCTAAAGACTACTTCCGCCCTCTAGTGACCAGGAATGGGAATATCACAGCTATAAGCATTTAGAAAACTCAATTCTCAATGTATATGCATACCTCCCTCTAGTGGGTATTTGGGAAATTTTCAGGAGTAATTTTGGTTATTATGATGAATAGGACTGCGACTGGTATTCATTAAGGGCATTAGGGATGCTAGTATTGTGAAAGTGAGGGATAGTGCCCTATATAAAATAATTATCCAGCTCAAAACAGTAGTGTAGATGAAACATTCATTATTTTTTAAGCCTAGAACATAGCAGTTCAATCATGTTTCACTTAACAGTGGGCATATATTATGAGAAATGTGTCATTAGGCAATTTTGTCATTGTGCGAACATCATACAGTGTATGTACACAAGCCTAAATCCTATAGCCTTCTACACATGTAGGCTCTATGGTAAGCCTATTGCCCCTAGGCTACAAGCCTGTGCAGCATATTACTGTA